AGATATCACTGAGCATTCAGACATTGTTCTTAAAGCAGAGAGGGATTTAGCATGTCTGGCTGGCCTTGTGTTTTTTTTTTCCCTTCCTGCATCTGATGCCTCTCTGCTGGCTGCTTTGGTGCTTCACTTGGTTGGCCTTGTTGCTTTTGCTGTGGTTTGTAGTTGCTACCTAGCAGCTCCCTGTGGATATATGAGGCCGTGCCCCTGGCTGCAGTTCACACACTCACCCTGCCTCTCTCTTTTGGACAGCGAGGGGGAAAGAGAAAGAGAGAGGATGTTTACCATGCTGTGGAGCTGCTTGCTTCCCAGCTTGTCTGCCTCAGCGCCAGCCTCAGACCAGAGACAGAGACGTAGGGGGAGGGAGCACTGCATCTTTCTTTGCTTCTCTCCCTCCCTCTTTTTGCACCAGTTTCCCCTCCTCCATTCTCGCTTTTAAATTTCTTGTCTTCGCCTGCCCTCTAAAGGCCAAAGGGCTTTGCTCTCTATATGTATATGTGTTGTGTGTGTGTAGCTGACTGCATCAGGCAGTGGCTTTTGCTTGGCATGCGAACTCCCTCCCTCTGCTGTAGCTTCAGAGCTGAGGTATTAGCGGGATGTTTTCACATTCATGTACACACACATTCATAAAGGATAGTGTAATTACCCTGTGCTCTCTTGTAATCCCCCAGGAGTTGTATTTATCTCCACTACAGCATATCTGACACCTAGTACCAATACCTGGCTTCACTTCACTTGCCTTCTCTGCACCAAAACAATTCTCCAGCTGCTCATCTCAGGACTGAGCATGTGTGTATATGTGTGTGTATATATATATATATATAACATTATAAACAGCACGATATTGTTTTCATGTCTTCTATTGTCATCTGTATTAAGTGTAGCTGAGCTGTGTGGTGGGTTTTATATTCTGTGATGGTTAAGAAGGAGCAACTGATTCTGAAATATGTAAGTATAGGCAGGAAAGGACAAGAGTTTTCTAACCCTTCAGAAGCAAAAGACAAGCTGATATTTAGGTAATAAAAGAAAGTCAAACAAGTAAATATGCAAATGTGACAGAGGCAGACAGCACACCCACACAGCTTTCAGACAGACAAAGCTACAGTCAAACACATAGCCATACAGTCAGTTGTACAGGCTTTCAGGCAAGCTGAGCCCAGGGCCGTGCTGCAGGGATCCTCTCCTCCTCCCCACACCAGTGTCATTGTTCCGGTTGGAGCCTGTCAGTCAGTTGGGTTTGATACAATGACAGTGGGAAACGGTGGAAAACTCTCATATTCATGTATTTCTATCTCATGTTTATGACTTGCCTCAGTTTATACATGTGAGCAGACTGTACTTTAGTCGAGAAATGTGAGAGCTGGTTTGGATTGAAAGTTCTGGAACAGATTTGTGATTTTATTTTGGACGAAATGTTTTGATTTAAGAGTTTTATAGTTATTTCCATTTTCCACTTGAATAGAGAAAACTTTGTGTGGGTCACTGTGTTGTCTGGCAGTACATATATAAGTGGGAATCTGACTTGTAGTGTTGGTTCCAGCTTTGTTTACATGATCCCTATTTGTGTTATATTAATTTGCATATCAACACAGCTACAACCTACCATTTTCCCTTGAGAGGAGAATATGTAGGAGTTTTGTCTTATTTAACTGATGCATTGAATTCCAAGACTAACTGGTATGAAGCAATTAATAAATTTAGTTCATGCACAGAGTCTGTCTTCCATGAACATCAGTATTTTACATTTATGTTCAGTTTTATTCTTTATATTCTGCAGCAGTTAAAATGTCCCTATATTGCATTGTACCAGCTGAAGAAAAGCTCTGCTGCAATCATATTTTGTTGAAGGGAAAAGTATGAAGTTGGAGAGGGAGGAGTAAACTTTATCCTCCCTTTGTTCATTTTTGTACCTTTGCTGGAAATCATAGGCTTGAAGGCCCCCTGCAGAGCTCAGTCCAAGGTTGGCCCTGTAAGAGGAAGACACAGGACATTACACTTTTTTTTTTTTTTTAAACACTTTTCAGCAATCATTGTGTTGCTTGTACCTGTGTGTCTGTATTGCAGTACTAGTTAGCTTTTTTTTTTTTTTAAAAGTGGATTCTGATGGACCTGAACCTTTCTACAATGTGTCATGCCGTGGTTGGCTTCACACATTACAGCCACTCCTACTGAATGAGCATAATAGCGAGGACAGCTTGTTATAGAAACCTGGTGATTATGACCTGCTGTGAACAACCTCACCCTCTTTCACACACGACGTCAACCCCGTCTCCCTCCCCCTCCCTCTGTCTTTCTCTTGTGGCCACTTTGATCTAATCTGTGCTCTTACGTCCTTGACTGCTGCCCCCAATGCCTGACCTCTGCATTTGAAAGTTCCCTGCTTATGTAAAAGTTTATGTAGATTAATACCACAATTTATGCAGATTGAGTTTTTGCCACTCAGGCTTGAAGCACAAAAAGGTAGACGAGCACTGACCTTCCCCGCTAACAGCTACGTGAGTTCTCACCGATTATCTCATAACTGCTACACACATGTTAGTTCTGTTACAGAAAGAGATGGAGCAATTTTAGAATTCTTAACTTTTTTTTTTACTTTATAGAAAAAAAATCAGTGTCATTTAAAATGAGGCTGTCTTTTTGTCAAAATGGCATTTGGGAAGCTTAGTAAGTGTGGTTTTTGTCAGAGTGCACCACACACACACACACACACACACACACACATAATTATTCCTTCTTTAAAACATCATGCTTCCTGCAGCCCCACAGTGTCTGTCAAACAGAAACGACTGCCAGCAGTGGCATCAAGCAGCCTTTCAGCCAGCTGTGTCGTGCCGAGGCTCCACAGAGCCATAAACTCGCTCACAAGTGGCAGCAGCATTGCCAAGGTTGAACAGTCAAGTATCATCAAGAGCAGTTTGCCATAGAAATGGGTCTATCTGAAAGCAAACAAAGGACTTACACTTGACTCGACCTGCTCCATGTAGGCTAAGTACGCACAGGCCTGTCTGACAGAGGAGAGTGGCTTTCAGTCAGAACAGACAAAGCAGAAGAGTAGAGGGAGGAAAGCCAGCAAAGTTAAATGTCACATTTTAACTTGGTTAGAGGGAAGAAAGTGCTACATTCAGCTGTGACTGTCACATTCAGTTTCAATGTGAAGGAGCAGAGCTGAAAGGGTAAAGTCAAGGGTATAGAATTTTGTATTTATTGTATGACTTAAAATTGATGTGCCTCTTTCACCAAAACATTTCTGCTGAACTTCATGGAAACTGCAAACCTAGACCCATTATTTGTTGCACAAATTATTTTGATCAATGCGTAGCCTTACTGTTAAAAAAAAATCATCCTTGCTTCACTTTTCTATAAAATGTTTTTAACAAAGCAATTTTCTTATGTCACAGTCAAGGTCTGTTGCAAGTTTGTCAGCTCCTGCAATGTTGCTACTGATAGTGATGAGCTCTCTGTGTTGCATCAAAAAGCTAAGCGGAAAGCAGAGCCTCCATCAGGTCACTAACCCTCTGTACCTTTTACACAAACACAAAGTGACCCACCTGTCACACAATTGGGACAAGTTGTCAGTTGAAGTTAGTTCTAAATTGAGCTAAAAGCCGTGTCTGGTGCTGAGGCCCAGTGGGAAAACAGCTGTTCACTTAAACACTCTGCATGTGTGTGTGTGTGTGTGTGTGTGTGCTGTTTATATCCGTTACTGTGTCCTGCCAGTGACCCATGCAGTGTCTCTTCTGCCTTATTTGATAATAATGCAGCAGCCTACGGTAGCTTGGCTGCTTGTTGGTGTGATCTGTGTCATAACGTTATCACTAATTCAGCTGACTGTTTACATTAGACTGATTAACCTCCCAGTCTCCGCTAAGTCTGCCACTTTACAGTAAAATACCGCAATTCTGATCACATCCTTTTGTGCTGCAGCTTTCCAAAACTAAAACTACAGGTGGATGTTACCTTATATTACAGTTTTAAATCACATGTAAAGGTCATCACCAGCTGTTTGTGGTGGGGTGGTTCCAAGTAGTTACTTTTATTACCTCGTTAAGGGTGGGTTAATGGTTTTTGCCAGCATTTGTTTAACAGCTTAACTTAAAAAGTAATGAATGGATTTTGATGAATTTTGAGGATGGTCCATGGAATAATTGATTAGACTTTGGTGTATCGTAATTTGGATACAGGAATATTTTAAAAAGATTCACCATTGTGAGTGCTGGAAAGGCTGTTCACTGTATTCGAGCCGCCTTGTAGCCAAAGTGTGCGACTGCGCTGCTGAGCACTACAGGCATACAGAGAGACAAAGCCCAAAAACAGCTGCCCGTTCATTGTCAGTGGAAACCGAGTGCTGTCATTCAGTACACCCTGCTGTGCAAGACGGGGACTGAAGGAGCCCAGCGAGGTGGCAGCTCACAGCTGGGGAAAGATCTACTTTATGCAGCGACATCTGGGCAGGAGCCAGTCGGGATTATCTCGATCTCAAACTGTGATGGTAGAGATTTTGAGCCAGGCTCAAAGCTGTTATCATCCATAGGCCTGGTATTATGCCACTTTAGTTTAGACACTTTTAAAGCAACAAAGTAACCACTTAGAGAATATGTGGTCAGTCTATCCACGTAATGCCAATTGAGAAATTTGTTCCACAGTTTTCAGTGTGTTTTCTATGAAAGTGCATGCACTTTGTTCAAGCACACCAACAACTGAATACATGATGCACTCCCATCTTTGCGCTTTCATGCAAAGACGTATTATCTCAGAGTTGAAAGCTCCTCTTAAAGTCCTTCTTTCCTTCTTTGTGCAGTACTGAAGTGTTCTATGCTACCAGAACAATGTGCATTCAGTCTTTACAAGTACAGTAACACCATTGTGGAAATGCAAGCATTGGTGTGCATTATGTGCCACACCTGCAAGAAGTATGTAGTAGCCTTGATTAGTGATGAGATATGTCTATATCAAAGAGGGTAACAGTTGTGTGATCTGATCCTGTACACTTCTGTCCCCTCCAGGCTCTGTTCTTCTCCAGCAGACTGATGGAAATGGGCGGACTGCACTGGATCTGGTCTCTACAACAAGTCAGAGGGAGGAGCTCCTCCATAGCGCGCAGGTTGCAGACTCAGCCCTGAGAAACATAGTGATTGAAGTCTTGAACCTTCCCCTCCTGGAGGCTGGATCCTCTCTGCTAGCCCACCTCATTTTCTCCTACAAGAAGGAGAGGGACCTGCCTGGCCACATGCAGCCCAGCGACGAGACGCACAGCCTAGAATGCAGGCTGGTCAGAGCCCTGGAGACACACTCCTTCCAAAAAGTTACTTTGGGCTGGACAGACCAGCGGGCAGTGAGGCTGCTGGAAGATGCAGAGATTCTGCTGGAGCTTGGCAGAGAGAGTTACCTGGGTCAGGTGCCTCAGGCTTTAAGAGAGTGCCGTGGAGAGAATACACAGCTCCTAATGGAGATCCTTGAGATTGTGAAGTCGCATGGAGAAGTGTTACTGGCCTATCTGTGACATTGGCCCAAGAGACAATGCAACATAAAAGACTTTAGGCACAACCTGTTATTAAAACATTAATATAGTTGTGCCAGTTATATACAGCTGTCAAATACATGGCCATAACATTCATTTAAACAGATGCGGTAAAAAAAAAAAATTCTGAGGAAACAAACATTTTCTGGTACATAATAAACTAATGTGGCCTTTTCTTGTTTTGTCAGTCAACTGCATGGCTTGGTTATATTCTGCTGCTTTTTTCTTAAATGTTAAATATTTTTGAATGTGTTCAAAAATAGCATTTTATGAGAACACTAACATTTTTGTATAGACACAAGTTGTACTTTTCTATGGCTGCTTTTCACTATTTATAACAATAAATGGATATAACTTATTTATTAAGAGCAAGCAGAGTGGACTACTATTTTATAATCCATTAGTCAATAAGAAAGTGGGCACTGCAGTTTTAGGAGCTCTGAAAGGAACGGGGGGCCGCAGTGGAAAAGTAAAACTAGTTCTCACAGAACACATCCTGGTTTGAGATACCTGAGGCACCGATGTGTGTGGCTGAAGACCCCATGTGCAAACCGCAGTAAGGAATGAGCTACTTCCTGAAGCTCAGCATGAACGCAGAGACGGGCCTTAGTCCTGTGTGCTGGGGTGGATTGAGTTGCTGATGGAACAACAGACATGTCTGTGCCGAATAGGCCCGTGTTCCTTTTCCTGCTAAAGGTGCCGGCTTATAAAAAAAAAAAAAGGCTTCATACAGAAACAATAATCTAGAAACTCTGAACATTATACAAAATATTTAATCTCTTTTAAGCAACATACATCAGATGCATTTAATTTCTCAAACCAGAAATAAAAATCATTTTCTTTTGTCACATGAAGATGTCACAGGCAAGCAACGTTGCAAGCGAAAAAAAAAACATCTTAGAAAATTAGGCGGGCGTACATCTACTTTACAATATCATCACCAGACCAACAGGCATACTGTATAAAACAACCATAAATTAATAGTGAAATAGATATGTACAGTATCATTTAAAAATAGTCTCATTTCAGCTTGGTGCAAATAAAAGTGCTTCTTTTTTTCCCCTTTACAGCTGTCGGATACATTCGGTTATATAATTGATTTGCTCTACATCATACAAAATCAACACTTTGGTTTGCTTGCAAACAGCCAACACCAGATAATGAACATGACAAAAAACAAGACTATTTGGATGCAATACAAGGCAATAGTCACCACAATATGTTGTAAAATAACTACATACAGAAACAGACACATACATATCAGGTATTCAAACTGTCCCTTCAGGCATTATAAAACGCCATCCTTCACCAGCCACAGAGTGTGTGGTCGAGGAGGCTATAATCAACCAGCAGCGCTGCTCTTGGGGGACAGTCTTATTGTCTTTCAAGTGGATTCCTCAAAACAACAAAACAAAATCAATGGCCCTCTGGAGTGACAGATCCGAGCCTGTTGATATTTAAGCATGGAGATGGATGGGTAAAGAGGGAGGGAGGGAGGGAGCAGGAGAGGTTAGAGGGATGCAAGCAGACAGACAGGGCGAGAAGATGACAAAATGGCAGAGAAGAGCTCCAGTTACAGTAGGGAGGGGCTTCAGAGTGATCAAGATTGAGACAGACAGACAAACAGACCAACAAAGGGGGAAAGGGGAACAAAAAAGGGGGTGTATGGAGGCAGGGATCAGTAGGATGACAGGAGACCTCCTCAATTGTAGCCTGAGCTGTAATCTTTCAACAGATGCTCAGCAAGAGGCCCAGGAGACCATCCCTTCAGACAGGGTCGCAACCCCCCTCACTGACGAATGGGGGAGCCACAGAGAGCCAAAGGAGAGAAGCATGATGGGAAGAAGGATCTGAAATAGCATAAAACACACACACACCCTTCCATCCCTGACATCTCAGGCCTAAATCCTCTCAGAGCCTTGTCTTGTCACACAGCGACTTGCTGCTCATCTAGCTGATGGGCCTGGACACCAGCAAACTACACACACAAATAAAAGCAGCTACCTCTGCTGCGCACGCACATCCATACACACATCGACTAAATCTATGCATCAGTATACAGCTGGAGGGGAGATATAATTGTAACACACACTGACGCTAAGAAAAGCAACATGTCTTTGATCACATAAACGTGTATGCGCAAACACTCTTACATACTGTGCACAGTTCACATACACAAGCCTGTGTTGTGGAAAAACAGATCAAAGTTGAACAAGGGGCACAGGAGGTGGGGCAGATGGAGAGGGCAGCCAGCCTGGGGCACAGCATCACAGACAGCATGTTTGTGTTTGTGCGAGTGCGTGTGCCTGCGAGGGAGAGAAAATGTGCCTGCTCAAATGGGATGTTATGTTTTCATCTGTAAGCAAGTAGGTAGAGAATGTGGATGTGAGCAGGGCTTTCACATGAGGGGGATGTTCTCTCCACACTTGTGTGTGTTTGTGTCTATGTGTGAATGCTTTCATGTGTGGCTGTCGAGGAAAACGCACAGGGAGATGAGAGGAAAGGAGACCAGCCTTTCAAACAAGATTAGGACTGTGGCTGCCCAAAGGCCTGCCTGCCTGGTGACACTCTGCATAGACTGGGTGACATCTATGTTAACACCATGACAGCAGAAGGGCCAGTGCTGCGCCTCCTGACACAGACAGAGGGTCTGACAGTCTGTCTGCCTGACAGATGGAGATGTTTTTAAGGGGTTAAACAACCCACAGTGAAGTTATCTGGGCATTTACAGTTTTTTGCAGTTGCTAACATCCATTTGTCATTCTGTATTGACATTTTCAAAACTCTAAACACAATTATCACATCTGTCTGTTGTGACCATACCATTAATACAATTAATGTCGTTTTCACACAAAATTTAGTCAATGCACACGTTTCTAAAATGTTTACATTTTCTTTTCACACAAGCTTACCCCATAGCAAAATAATGGATCTTTCAAATATCTCTAACAAATGCTTAAACACATCATGACAGAATTGAAGACCTAATGATCCAAACTTTAAATATAATGTAAAGCCTCTACTTT